GGTCTAGTTTTGTGCGTAGTTCGCGTCCAAACATCATAAAGGCTGGTGATTTTCCGGTTGACCTTTTTGGAGATGTTCTGTATGCGAACAAGAAACTTTTGAGCTTTTCTTGGACGGTTCCTACATTGTTCTGTGATGCACTCATGCGTTCTTTGAATGTTCGAACACACCGTTCTGCTAACCCATTGCTTTTTGGGTGAATTGGAACGGATGGTGTTTTTGGCCTCTGGGGACCTCAAAACAAAAAAGTAAATCGGTCCCGGGTCCAGGTCTTACCATGAGACCTACGGTAAAAGGAATAGGCCTATTATGTTAACCAGGTATATAAGCTATCTTCATACAAAATTTTATTTCAATCGGTTCAGTGGTTTTTGCGTTATAAAGTAGCAGACAGACACACAATACACAAACACACACCATCTCATTTTTATATATTAGTATAGATAGTATAGATAGTATAGTTTGTTGTAAATTGTGATAATCTTTCCATAAATTATGACTGACATAGAAACAAATTGTAAACAAAACACAACCTCTACAGTACACCGGGAAGCACTAACACCGGAAAGCACTAAAAAAAAAATTGTCTTCAGCTTAAGTTTGAGAAATCTACTAAGGGAATGTTACATCTATAGGTATAGGTTATAGTGACGGCTGTGCATGCACAGTACACCGGAAAGCACTAGCAAAATTAATTGTCTTCAGATGATCCTTAAGTATGAGAAATCTACTAAGGGAATATGTTATATCTATAGGTATAGGTTATAGTGACAGCTGCGCATGCTAAAATACCAATTTTTGATTAATTGGACTGACGCGGTGGTACACACGCTCACTTCGGACTGACATCAGTTTGGTGTGTCACACCGAAATGATGAATTTTCATCAGTCCAGTTTTTTGATGTGAGCTCACATCAATTTGGCGTACACACGATCAGCTCGGTGTGTCAGTTCGATGTGACACCGAACTGACCGTGCGTAGCGGGCTGGATGTGGTGAAGGAAGTAGTAAAAGGCCAGCAGTGCGGTGTGTGGAAACCGTCTGTGGCAGTTGGATTAATGTATCTGCAATCTTAAAATGCTCTAGGAAGGGGGGGAAACAGGTCCACGAGGAAGTGGTGAAGGAAGTAGTAAAGGCTAGCAGTACAGAGCATAATACAAACAAAAAACATTAAACAAAATACATTTGTATTTTTGATTATATCTATTAACATTTTTTCACTTATTGCTTTTTTAAAAACCATGAAACATGATTGCTCCGCTCAACTGGCTTTCATTGCTATGAAAGCAATCCTAGTATATAGTATGATAGTATACAGTACATTGCAGAATTGACTGGCAAATGAGTAATCATATTATTTAAATTAAATAATATATTTTATTATTATACAGGGTGTTTTTAAAAGAATGCCGGGATTTTAAATAATAATTGCTTTGGTACTATTCAAGGTAACTAAACGTTTTATACGTCAAATTTAAGCTAAAATAACTAAGTTTTGTTTCCGGTGTAGCAAGGGAGGAATATTTTACATTGGCATGCCCAAAACAGGTGCGCGGTGGTAGGCCACTATTCTGACTCATACGCTTGACGCCAGTCGCCAGTACGACGTTTACGGCGCAACAGAAGGCACAAATCGTCATCTGTGGTTCGCAGAGTTAATATCCATTGCTAAATTAAACTAAATGAAAATCTTCTTGATGATAAAGAAACTTGAAGCTGATTTAATGAGTTTCCTGGCACCGTAGTGTTTTGAAAAGACATTCACCTGGCCGGCCTAAAACAACCGATGACAGAAGCCCGAAAAATTGATTTCCCGACTAATTGTTCAGTATAACAAACCTAAATTGGTCACTTTATGGTGTTATCTGTAACAGATAGAGTCTTTGTGCCTAAACAGATTCAGTTAAGACATCAGATAAACCCACCGATCGCCCTAAGCGTACATACTCTGCCAGTTTTACACTCAAATAAGATTGATGAAAATCTGAATTTTATTAAATCATTCCGAATTGTATCAAAGGATGAGAAAAAAACTTTGTTCTTTTCCCTTTAATTTGACGTTTAAATAGTTTAATTATCTTGAATAGTCCCGGCGCAACGACCGTTTGAAATCCCGGCATTCTTTTAAAAACACCCTGTATTATATGCACCTAGGAGGACATTTAAAAGCAATTTCCAGAACTATAAGATTTTTTACATTTTATATAATAAGTATCATATTGATTTACCACAATCAGCTGTGATGAAGTAAACAAAAATCGGCAATAAATGGCTTCTAATGCTATTCTTATAAAGAACATTTTACGTTATATCATATCTAATTTTGTGTTAAAGTTTTGGGAATTTTTCCCACCGTCACGGGATCGAGACCTTTAATTTGAGCCCTCTCCTGTTGTTCTTCGACTTTCCAGTCGCCCACAATTTTGCCGCAAAGAATCGGCTTACGTAATTAATATACAGACTAGTGGCTTGTAGGGACATAAGTCCCTAAAAAGTTCAAATGTTAAACGAATTATTGTAATCTTTTTAAGCAACTTAGAATCACATTATCTACAGTAAAACATATATTTTGTGTCAAAAAAGTTTGTTGTTTGTTTTTTATGTTATTTACAATAAATAATTTGAATGACTCCAGAGAACTCTGCTAAAGGCAGCAAACATGTTTGTGAATAAATATTGGTTTACTAAGGTAAGCTTTGGTCTTTTGGATACTGATGATAAAAAGGCTTCCCTGATTGAAATATTGGAAATTGTCTTCGTCAAATATGAAAAGGCAAAAAAAAGTGTGTTGAGATAGGCTTAGTTCTTGGCCAAAACCGATAAATTAGCAACCCGACCCAGTTATTATTTCTATGCTTAAGCTCATTTTGTTAAGGTTTAACAAAATTTTTGTAAAGTAAAGACATCCCATTGACAGAACTTAACCCTAAATTTGTTTCCGATCAACATTTAAAAAACTACTATTAGCCTATTGTAAGTATATGTAGTGGTAATCCTCCTAAAGGTGCGATTGACTTTACATATTCTATCAAAAAATAGCCTAATCAACGTCTGATTACTATTTTGCGACTGGTTCGGGTTCCATTACCCAGTTATCGAAACCAATCACGGCATGCATATTTTTTGTTAGTTTTAAGAAACGGAAATTACATCTAGGTTTTACTGTTATATATAGGTGTTCCCTTTACTACCGTGCGAGAGAAAGGCTATATTATTAAATAACATAGCCTAGCATAACGCCTTGGAGCAACCTCCTTTTAGGCAGTACCTGGTTAAAATCTCGTCTAAACAATATTGTTTTTCCGCCCATTGAATCTTGTCATAGTACTTAATGAACAAATTCCTGTACGAACCTATTTCATCTTAATTCCCAAACTGTATTAAACACTACAATAAATCTCAAATATCAATGTTAGTAAATTTACATACAAGTGTGGAATAAATCTTTAACATAGGTTTTAAAATCAAAACCAAACAGAAGTTCTCCATTTAATCTTGAATCGTTTAATTAATCCTGAAAACAATTTTTTTCAACATTGGCGTAACTAAAAAGTCTTAATTATTATGGTTAACATTATCCCTAGTTTTTTAAAGTATACAGAACATTGCAGAATTGACTCGCAAATGAGTAATCCAAATGTTACTGGCTTAATGATAGATAACGATCAGCTGTATTGAAGTAAACAAAAATCAGCAGTAAATGGCTTCTAATGCTATTCTTATGGAGAACATTTTACGTTATATCTAATTTTGTGTTAAAATTATGGGAATTTCACTATTTTTCCCGCCGTCACGGGATTGAGAACTTTAGAGCCCTCTCCCGACATTCTACGACTTCCCAGTCACCCACAATTTTGACGCAATGACTCGGCTTACGTAATTAATATACAGGGTGATTGGTACTCGGTGTGGCAAAAATTTTTTGGTGTAAGTACAAAGTAAATGAAGTGTGAATGATGCATATCAAATGTTCCAAGTCTAAAAATTAGCTTCCCAAAAAATTATTTTATGTTTTTCAAAAATAACCATGCTTTTAAACTTAATACAGCGATTTCTCAATTACCTGTATATAGATTTGAGTAGATAATGTCATTTTCGTGTTCTACATTAAAGTTTGAAAAAGAATAGTAAAAATTACGGAGGATCAGTTGTAAAAACTCCATTGCAAATAGATTCAAAGATAAAAATTAAGATGTTTGATAAAAATTTAAAAAACAATGGTCTATAGCATTTTTCACACCCTGTATACAAGAAAGTGTCGGAATATGTTAAAAACTGCGACATTTTATAAGCTTTAAAGCTTTTTTAAATTTTTATCAAACATCTTAATTTTTATCTTTGAATCTATTTACAATGGGGTTTTTACAACTGATCCTCCGTCATTTTCTATTATTCTTGTTCAAAATTTAATGTAGAACACGAAAATGACATTATCTACTCAAATCCATATACAGGTAACTGAGAAATTGCTGTATTAAGTTTAAAAGCATGGTTATTTTTGAAAAACATAAAATAATTTTTTGGGAAGCTAATTTTTAGACTTGGAACATTTGATATGCATCATCACAGTTCATTTACTTTGTACTTACACCAAAAAATTTTTGTCACACTGAGGACCAATCACCCTGTATAGATGATGGCGACCATATGAAGGTAGGTATTTTAAGCCAAGTATGAATGCAGCAGAGGCCTAAGAGATTATAAGATCGGAAATAAGAGAAGCCTTTCTTGGATTTATATACAGAATAATTTCCCAAAAGTGTAATGGAAATTGAGTGGACAATTTAGTAATGCACCAAGTACAGACACACATTTGACAAAGTAAATACATGTAGATAACATAATAGTTGTACAGCCAAAACCACCTGTTCTCCACAACCCTAATTTCAGTTTTCAAATATCAGTGCTCCTTTCAGAATGTTGTGAGCTGAGGCAATGTTCAATGTTGGGCAAGTTAACTTAGTAAGTAGTTGGGTTGGGATAAAACAATGATACATTCATTAAAATTGTTATCATACGAAAGAAAATGGTTATATTTAATTTACACAGCAAAATAAATAATTTAAAACGCACAATAATTAACAAATTAATTTCACTAACACAATTTCAAATCATATTTAACGTTTTTAAACAAAACAATACAAAAACTAAAATTTTTACTATATGTATACACACTTGACTTTATAAATACATTGTACTTGACATTGGAAACAAACACATTTCCCCTTCAAAACCTCAAGAACTCCTCCAATGTGGGACCTGATCTTCCGAGGGGATCCACGGGGAACATGAGAAAGTCATCAACCCAGGTAAACATAAGAAGTCTGCAACACAATAACCGTAGGCTATTAACATCTAAGATTAGAATAAAAAATCAATAGTTTTTCAACTCTTTTAAGATTTTATTTTTGTTTCTACTAGCTGACAAAAAGGTTTGATAGCAATGTCAGATAAACCGAAAAAGCTACAACTTAATGGTACAAAAAAATAATAAAAAAAAACATTGAAAAATATTTAATCATCTAAGGAAAGGGAACTATTTCAGTTTACCTAATAGAAATGTTTAGAAACATTTTTATTTGAAAGAACATTTCCAGCTGAAAGAAATCATTAGACCCAGGTCTAATTTTAGCCAGCCTCCAAACTTAGTCTTTGTTGCCTTGGTTTTGTATTATAATCTTTCAGACTGGAAAGATTATAAGATCAAAATTAAAGAATAAAAGATTATATCTTTCAGTTTGCATTCCCAATGGCGGTGGAGTGTATTGATCTATAATGAACAATTTTAGTTATTTAACTATATTGTTTGCTACCTTCAGCATTTGTTCTTGCAGATGTGTTTTGATTCCTCCAATATATTTCATCACAGTGTGTGGCGGCAAAGGGAGATGGGATATTCTATTTATACATTATACAGTATGTACACAGCACGTATATAGAGAACGATTCCGCGACATAAACTTACAGAGTTGTGCTGTGTATATATTGTCAGGGACGGATTTCTCACTAGGCACACTAGGCTAGTGCTGCCGCTTACGGGTGCCTTTTCACCACACTACGATGTTTTTAGCTGTTTTACAAACGTTAATTGGAGGGTGAAAGCTACTTAATTGCTTTCCATAACCGAAATGGCAGCTGTCATCGTCATTGGGGGCCGATTAGGTTTTTCCGGTCCTAGGGTCACAAAACCAGCTGTTCGACATAAAACATCAATGTATATAAAAAAATACACAAGCAATATCCATATGCATTTTATGTCACCGTTGCCTAGCAACTATTTATTAGTATTTTTGCTGGTTCCCGTTCTTCTAAATATTTCTTCACATAGCCTTAAAGTTGTAGGTGTGTTAACTGTTAATGTGCATTTATTGAGTGAAAATGGCAACTTAAGACTCAATTTTGTATAGTGTGGTGAAAAATGGCGTTCGTACCACAGGCCGAAAAGGTTTAGCAGCTCTCAACTTCGTCTTGAACTTAAAAACAACGCTCTCGTGTTGCAAAACCTCATTTTCAGTCCTAGGTACAAAATATACTATGACGGATGTCTGAAGGGGGCGGCACTAAGAATAGTGCCTATGACTAGGGGTGAAATATGTATAAATCCATCTCTGTATATTGTGCTGTGTATAAAGTGTATAATGTCTAAATATAACTTCCTGTCTCCCTGAGGATGCCACACACTGTTAGCCCAGTCATTTAATGCCTTAAAAAATCTGGAAATTGCTTTAAAATGTCCTCCTATTTAAAATGTCCTAAAATGTCTATTTTAACACACCAAAAAGCTCCGAGGCGCCATCTTGGATTTTATATCCTAAATACATATCTCGAAAACTATCACCTTTTTGTATAACTATATTAAATTAGGAAATTAAAGAAGATTAAATTTCCTACAAGAAAAGTATATGATGTTTGGAGTATATGATTTTGGTTCAACCAGTAGGATATTTTATTAATTTACTCCTTCAATCAGGAATACATGTAAATTTGTATTTAAAATAAATGCTAAATGTGGCAAAGCCTATCCACCTAAGGTCAATATAACCGATATTCATAAAATACTGATAGCATTTATTGTAATTTGACACTTTAATCATAACAATTTTTGCAATATTACGGCAAGGGTGAGAACACAAAAAGGTTGTAATTTAAGAAACTGTAACAAATAATGCGGTTATTGTGACTATTGACCTTATAGGCTTTGCCACTTTTAGCATTTATTTTACATGTATTCCTAATTGAAGGAGTAAATTAATAAGATATCCTACTAATTTATCATATCCTGTAAACAGTTCAACCAAAATAGTTACATCATATACTTTTCATGTAATGAAATTTAATCTTATTTAATTTTCTAATTCAATATATTATACAAAACATTAATAGTTTTAGAGATATTAAGGAAACCCCTAAAATCTAAGATGGCGGCCACTTCCCAACCACCCACCCTCGGAGTTTTTTGGTGTGTTAAAATAGGCACCTAGGAGGGACATTTAAAAACAATTTCCAGAACTATAAGATTTTTTACATTTTTCAAGCATATTTTAAATATAAAATGACTGGGCTATGTGGCAAAATATATTGGAGAAATCTAAAAACACATCTGCAAGACCAAAGGCTAAAGGTAACAATAGTTCAATAACTAAAGGTTCTAGTTTTTGCCACTGGGAAAATACATAAAATGCTTGTTTCTTTACAATATTCATTGTAGGAAAATATCAGAAGTTATCCCAATGTATTTAAATACAAACTTTACAAACTGGAGAATCTTATTTGTCGTTAAATAAAAGTCGAATTCCGACTGTCACCGCTCACTGCAATTAAGTGACCGTGGGAGACGATGAAGATAATTTAAAGACCTTGGACAATGTACAAGATTTTGCAGAGATAGCGGAAAACGGTGATGTTGTTTCCGTGACCGCTTTATTGTTATATGCCACACAAATGGACTTAGTTGTGTGACAGAAAATATTTTTCTTTGTGAATAAGTAATGCAAAGTGCCAAGTTATTGCAGAATGAACGGTTTGATGAATCATAGGATGTTTTCCAAAATGCAACACGATGAGCTGGTTTTTGAAGGTAGGCTTTCCAAAATTTGTGTTTTTACTAACAATAATACAAAAATAACAATGACATCTTAGTAATATTTTTTTGTAATTAATTTGTTACTGTTTACATTTTATTTTTAGGGTTTTTTAAAGCCCGTAATACATAATAATACAAAAATAATAGTGTTACTGTACCAATGTTATATCATTTTAAAGAGAATTTCATAAGGAATCAGAGGGGAAAAATTATTAGTCTTTGGTAAATATAGCTTAAGTTATAGCAAATTTTGTAGAGTAAAATTTGCCCTTGGCTGTTTTTGTATCTAAATAGTAAAAAAAGGTGGCGGCAAAAGGGTTAAAACTGAGATAGAACTTAATCACAGGACCTAGAGAGTCCCCTTAACTAGTTTTGTGAGCCCTTATTTGCCCAGGTATCTGAAAGTTGAATCATACTAAATTAAGTTAAAATGTAGATTTGCCAAAATTTTCCAAGTTCAAATTATTGAGCGGAGCGAGCGAAGCTCTTATACACTGATTCTTATGCATCAAATTTCAAATTTTGCATGGCGATAAAGACCATATCGGTGAGTGCCAACATCTATATGGCGTTAAAAAAAATCTCAGGAATCCGCCCCAAAGGGTCTCAAAGTTTTAATGTAATCCTTATGGAAGCAGTATTTGACACATAAACAAAGGCATACGATCAGCTGTTGGCTTTTGAATGCAGTAGATCAAGAATACCTTATAGTATTATCACAGCCTCCTACAGGCCGCGGTCAGCGAGAATTGGCAACGTCGCACTGAGCATTAACTCCCGGCCATTTCACTATTACAGTAGTACGGAACTAGTGGTCGCGGTTTAAATATACTGCATTTTTACACCCTTACAATTGAGATAAAATTTTGAAATTTGGTACAGAGCTAGGGAGTAAACCCTTCATGTCAATGGTTTGGTTTTGAAAATTAAAATTTAATTTGGTAGTATATATATATATATTTAATTAACACGTTAGAACAATTTTGGAAATGTGAAGTGAAAAAGTTAGTCGCCTACTAAAATTTCTGTTTCTTGGTCAGAGAAATTTTGTCTGTGAGAAAGTTGTAGATAATTAAATATACATTACTATTTGCATTTAACTTTTCCTTCTATCATGCATAGTTTTGTTAAAATTTTGGGTTGAACAGAGCGACCAAATCTCAGTTTTATGGCGCGGCGCGTTGCGCTGCCCGCAAGCTGTAATGTAGTATCGCATAGCTAATAATAATTAATTAATGTCGGCCAACAGAATTATTTCAAGCAGGTTAATATGCCTTTTGCTTAACCACAAGAATATTACTTTTGTATCAAATTACGGCACGACTTAATGTCTTCATAATTAAATACCGTAGCCTAAAACAAAAATGCATTTTTGTTTTAGTTTTAATAATTTTGCTGTAGTTTATTATGAATTTTAAGTATGTGTTTTATTTACACGTTATTATGTAGTATTATGAGAAGTAAAAATATTACTTCATTCATTCTGTTATTGCGCATCCATTAATAACTAATCCATTGATAATATTCCTGCAACAGACAATCGGAAGGCGGGGCTAGCGAAAACTTTTAATTTAGTATTGCATTACATTTAGCAGAGGCATATCAACGACGGATCAAATCTACATTCTTAAAGAGTCAATAGCAAAGTATTATGAATTCAACAAATCATTCTGTTGCCTCTTCATTGATTTTTCAAAGGCTTATGACTCCATAAATAGAATGAAGTTGTGGATAAACATGGAGCATCTAGGTATACCAAGAAAACTTATAGAACTAACAAAATTGAGTGTTTTAGGTTTTAAGTGCAAAGTTAGAGTAAATGGAGATGTATCGGAAGACTTTGAGGTGAACACGGGTGTGAGGCAGGGAGACGGGGTATCTCCATTGCTGTTCAATTTAGCCATAGAAACAGCCCTTCAGGAGATAAGAAAGACAGAAGTAGGGATTAAGATAGGAACAAACATAAACTTGCTAGCTTTTGCAGATGACATAGTATTAATTACACATAATATAGAAGAAATGAAAGATGTAACAAAAATTTTTTTTTAACATACAAGAAAAATGGGGATATACATAAATGAAGAGAAAACCAAGTTTATGACATAAGGAAGAAAACAAGATGATGACCAACCAAGATACCAAAATAACAACTACATTGAAATTGAAGAGTATAAATTTAAAAAAGTAACAAATTTCAAGTATTTGGGAGTCATCCTCACCAGCGATAATGATGAAGAGCTAGAAATACAAAATAGATTAAACCTAGCACAAAAAAGTTTTTCGGCCTGTCACAAGTTACTAACTTCAAAAATAATATCCCACACCACCAAACTCAGGATTTATAAGACAATCATCAGACCAGTTCTCCTGTATGGTTCAGAAAATTGGATCTTAAGCAAGAAATCAGAAAGGAAAGCTATTGTATTTGAGAACAAGATTTTGAGGAAAGTGTACGGACCGATTTTTGAGGATGGACAATTGAGATCGAGACATAATTGGGAACTTAGAGAATTATTTAAGGATCCGGATATTGTCGCTGAGTTACGGAGCAGAAGACTGAGATGGGCAGGGCATATTCTAAGAAAAGATGACAACTCCCTATCAAAGAACATCTTGAGGAATAACCCAGAAGGTAGAAGACCCCTTGGAAGACCGAAACTTAGATGGTTCGACCAAAGACCTGAGGAAGCTAGGGAGAAGGAAGGAAGATGCAAGACGCAGAGACCTATGGAGGCAGTGTGTTGGGGAGGCCAAGTACCATCTAGGGTACCAGTGGCCACAGCAGTAGTAGTAGTAGTATTGCATTACATTCTTGTATTGACATGAAAACCTCATATAATTATTTACTTATTTTCCTACACATCAGTGTTGTCAGATATAAAACATCTAAATTGATAGATGATTTGCGTGCTTGTTCCAATCCTCTGTGGCGCGAGCGCAAGCGTTCAGTGGTGTAGCTGGATCATCCGATGCGGTGTTGCCACTTCAAACGCCGCGGCCTGTAGTTAAAGGAGGCTGTGGTATTATTCCACAGATATTAGAACAGAAACTGTGTGGATCATGAATATAATCAAATGACACTAGCTTGATCTTATACTAATAGCCTTAACATCTTGTTTGAACGTTTATTGACAGTCCCATTTTGAATAACGAAACAAACATGTTTGTTTTCGGTCCATCCAACTAAATTAACAACTAAGATCAACAAGGACCTCTAGGAAGCACAACAATTTAAGCTAAAACTCAACGGCTTAATCTTTGTCTTTGATCACTTTCCGATTGATTATAAAGATTATCAAAGTGTAACACATGTGTTATGGTTTAAACGCTGAAATCAATGCAAATGTGAGTGTTAATATAACTTTTGTAAACATTTTTATTTTTAAATGTTCACATTTATTAAAATCAAAATAAATTCAAATTACAATTCATTCAAGTCAATCTAAATTTGATATTGTTAAAAATCATGTTAAATTGTTTAACTGAGTATATTCATTTAGTTGGCTAGTTAGTAATGTTTTAGCAGTTTTGAAGGTCTTAGATTTAAGAGAATGCCTTATATTTCGAGTTTTCACTTGTATAATTACCATCACATGAAGTCCTCTTATGCAGTTATTTATCAGTGGCCGAAATAGTAGAATTCAAAACTTAAATTATGATCTCTAGGTTGTCACTAGCTGGAACTGTACCGCCCTGTTTGAGAAAAAGTTGATGACCAACCGAGGAGGTCTTAAACTTAAAATGTAAATGCTGATCTCCGAAAAGGCCTAAAATGACATCTCTGTGTTTATTACTCCCTTTCACTACAAAACAATGTGTAGCCAATCTAATTACCACAATATCTATCTACACAAATGTTGTCTTCACTTAAAATTGTAGGTACAATATCTATCTACACAAATGTTGTCTTCACTTAAAATTGTAGGTACAAATAATTATGAAGCTCGATGGAGAAGGTCAATAACAATATAATATGAACCCTGATGACTCCACTCAATTTTGTGGGTGACTCTGCGAACGCCATCTAGTTAATCCTTAAGCCTTCAAACTCATCTCTTACAAAATAACATAATTTAAATATTATTGAATTAAAGTTAATTTGTATCTAGTAAATGAAATATAACAACAAGCTAAACTGCAATTAGTAATAAAAAACATGATTACCTTTTAGCAATTGTGTCTCTCCATCTAACATTTTCTGTTGAAATGTCTCGATAGTTGTCCGTTGAGACAATAACGCCTCCGAATTCAGTGGCATACTGCACTATGAATCTAGATAAATATGTAAATACAACATTAGCTGTATCCCATACATGCTAGGTAGGTAAATCAGGTATGGTTAAAACATTTTCCAAGAAACCATAATCAAATAATAATTTATCTATTTAACATAAGTTAAAGCTGAACTAATAAATAACATGAATAGTAAAGAACTAATATTTAATCTAATCTAATAAAAATGGAGATTGGCTTTGCTAATATTAACACTTTGAGCTTCTGACCTTTTACTTTCATAATGTTTTTCTTTACATATTACAGTAGAAACTCTATAATCCGGCTTAAAGATAGCAGCCGCTGGCAGGATTAAAGGAAAACCTGGTACTAGAAGATACATTAGTAGGCCTACTAGTAAATTAGACTTACTGTTAGTGAATTTGAGACGCCAAAGTTCCAACAAAAAGTTAACATCGCCAGCAACGCTTAAATATTATAACTGACTCGTGACAGTTGTCACAAAAGTAATAAAAATAAATAACTGCAGCCTAAAAAAAAACCCATGTTTTGTCCCTTGATTCGTTGCCACTTGCCAGTACTGTAGTAGTGCAGTTGGCCTTGATTTATTAAATTGTAGGGCCTACCTACTATACAATAATCATATATTAGGCACTGTAGTACTCATAATGTAATTTCATATTAAAGTACAGATCAGTTAAGAATTGTACCATAGTACTGTACTTTAATATGATATTACAACCAATAAAACTAGTTTGCAAATGTAGTTTTCGACAAAAAAAAATTTAATTATATTTTTCAATGAATTGAAAGGTAGGTTTTCAACATGCAAATTAAATGGATCTCAGTTGTACGAGTATCTTTCCATTTACTAGATACCAGGACAAACTTAAGAACTTTCAAGCTGATGGAATCTATATCTATAATACGTGAAGCTGTTTTGTGTGAACACTACTCCCCCCTTTTGTGTGGATCAATTTAAATGTTTGAGGTGTCAAAAAATTCTTGAGAGTAAATACATTGATGTTTGTAATATTCAGGAAGTTATAGACCAATGTAAACAGTTAATAAGTTTTGTTGGAAAAAGAAAAAATATCTTGAGTTCGAAGAGGAAATATTGAAAACAAGAGGAGCAGACAATTAATAAAGATCTTATGTGTATGAGAAGAGTAGAAGAAGAGAGGCCTGGTCCAGATGCACACTCACTTGGAGAGATGAATAATATTTGTCAATTCTACTATGCAACTTACTTTGGAAGTGAAAAAAATACACAACAAATATACACATCATGATGTCACAGTGGTAAAGTAAGTTAAGTAAACATGCCTAATTTCAGATCAAATTAATACATGCAAGAAATGTTTACTGGTAACAGCAATGCCTAAGTAGGGAAACATATGTAGAAAACATTAGAAAACAAGGTCAGCTTCTGAAATATGATAAAATATTTACAAGAAGTGATTATTATATCAAACTGTTATTAACAGTGTGAATATTACTATTAGTTACATAAAAATTGTCATTTTAGGCTAGATTTAACCCTACTCAAATCGATTCATTCTTAACACGAATTTTAATCCATATTTTGATTTAAAATATCTATTCCAGTTATAGATCTCTGGCAAAACTCTAGTGCAGAACTTGAGAGGACGGTGGTTTTTTGCTGCTTTTCTGCTCTAAGTAGAATAGTTTGGTAGATATGGTTGATTAGGTTTTTTTTGCCCCACCTTCAGATCCCAGGATTCTGGGCTCTAGCCCGGGATCATTTTACACATTACTTCAGACTAGGCTAAGAGGGTTGTGGCATTATCTCTTAGATAAAATCCATTGGTGATTGGAGGAATTAGAACCTGGGACCTCCGGAACCGAAGACCCATGTTTTACCACTAGACCAGTTTACTCTCCTAGAGATAGAATATTAGGAATTATGCGTACAGTACTACAAATCATTTACCGATCATCATATGGTGTTCTCCTCTGCCCATTAATGCACTGGCTTGGAGTAAATACAACATCACATTTGGTTTTTAATTCTGTCAAAAGCTCAGATGAGAACTGTTCTTGTCGAAACAGTGGCATGAATATCTTTATGTTGGTGTGGCCCCTGGCAGCAAAGTAGTCTACACAGATCTTCAGTCCATTGGGAGAGAATTTTCCTTTTCCATGACTAAAAACAAAATAGTTATGTTGACATACAAAAACTAAAATTCATTCAGGTTTTGCCAAGTAATAATCCAGAAGAAGTACAACTACTTAACTTTAACTTATTTAGTACCAGGGGACCAAGCATTGCTCGAGGTGTTTTATTTATTCAAGAGGTAAAAAATAAAGTATAGGCCTACAAATTTACGATTTTCATGATAGTATAAAATAAATACAGTATAAGATATTGTATAAACATAATAACATGTTATCATGCTCACAGGGCCCTGAGCCGGCGGCTCTCACCAGAGAGGCCCTTTTTTATATTCTGATTCTGAGTATTACGTCAGGACCAGATATTTTTAATTTCTTCTTGGTTGAGTAAAAAATTTTAATATTCGGACATTGGATCAACATTGGGTGGTTTTCGAAATAATTTATTTAACATATATGTATTGATTTACTATAATCAGTTTATACAAAATCTGTTATCATGTACAAAATATAGGCGTTAAAATAGTGGACAATCACACGATTGGGAGACATCATCTACGTCTTCTGTGATCACAGCAAAACATGTATGTCTCCCGTGGTTGCGGAAAACAGTGAACATTTTGCGCGATCGCGGGGACATCATATTCGTCTCCTCCAATCACTGTGGAATTATGAACGTCTGCTATGGTCGCGGAGAAATAATGGACATCTTTAAGAATCTCTCGTTTTGTCGGATACTCAGATTCGAGAAATTTAAGTTTTTCAATATTGCGATGGAACAGAAAGCAGTTGGATTCTGCGTCCCATCATAATCCAAGTCACTCATTCTGTAGAAAGTCGAGTATCGGGCATCAAGTGTTTCAGGTCAAGTGTTGTGTAGCTTTCAGGAATTTTCATAAGTACTTGTTTATCTAGTTACAAATTTGGAACCATCCAGCTCTATATATCTCAATTATTTATCGAACAAAACGTTTAGCTTCCTCTTCTGTGTTGGTCGAATCCAACAGGTCGTCCATATAAAATACCTTAATCAGTACTGAAGTACTAGCTTCAGTGTACAAAAAGTCAAACTGCAGTGTGCATCAACCTGAGCGGTAAGCGGTAACGTAAGTATCGGTGGTGGCTTAGTTGAAAAGGACAATCTGTGATGACCCGCAAGACGTATTGCAACTATAGTTGTTATCTGACAATTAAATATTAAGGTAAACTTAGTCCCCACTTAGTCCCATAGTTTTTTGGTGACTATAGTATTTTAAAATATTTGTGCAGGTTATCACACAATCAATCCAGTACAGTATATTTTTGACTGCATTTTAATGGCAATTAAGAAAGCTGATTCTCGTCCTTCAGATTATATTTCAACCCTTCATAAATACAATACTCGACATAAAGACTCCATAATAACATATAAACATCAAACAAAATTTTTTGAAAAGAAACCTTCCTACATCGGTCAAAGATATTTAAATACAATTCCAAAAAAATTAAAAAAGAAAGTAATAAAAACAAATTTAAAAAAAGATTAAAAGAATATCTGATTAAAATAGCTCCGTATTCTTTTGAAGATTTTTTCCACCCATCACAGTCATCTATATAAATAAAATTACAGTTTTGTCTGTACATTGCTTAGAATCATGTGGTTTTTGGTTATTTTTACGTTTCATAGCCTAAGAAAGCCGAAACGAGTCTTATCTCAATTTCTGTCTGTATGTCTGTTTGTCTGTCCATTCTGTGACTCCGTCTGTAACGCCAAAATGTCATTTTACGCGGCCTACTCCTAGAAAACTAGAGTACCGATCAAGGTTTTAATCATTTTTCTGTATTTACTGGATTGGTGAGAGTGTCTTTGGCTATAAAAACATGGCCTCGCTTCTTCGAAAACAAAATAACGAACCACCAAAAACCCAATTTTGTTTGATTTTTGTCAAATTTTCTCCCAATGTTTACTATTACATTACATTTTATGAAATAACGATCAGCTGTTTGGATTAGTTCTCACTTCTAGCTGTCACCGATATGTTTACATTAAAAGTTGTTTACAAATACCGCAACCATTTCCAATCAAGTTTTGTCAGCACATCCAAACCAAGTGAGATTAAAAACGTTGTGCCTTACTTAACCGGTTTAATTAATCGCAAGTGCAACGATTGTTCTTGAGTTTTGATAACCGGGGAAAATACCGTGAATCAGTGTTGTATTAGTGCAACGAAACTTACATTTTTTTAATCATCATCACCAATACCGTAGCTTACAAAGGTTTCCACTCATTGACGGCGCTTCAAGGACAGTTGTGTAAAGTGCAAAGTAAAAAATCACGACTGCAGTGGGTGATTGTGGATGTTGCTGCGATCTTGGAAGATCTTTCTGATTTCGCTGCGATCGTACTGTAACAGAGGTTTAACTTAACAGATGTAGCTAAACTCGCTTTTCCAATGTGTCACTTTTGGTTTCTACTTACTTACATTTCGACAACGATATCGGTACTTTTCCTACTTAGGAAATAAAACTACAAACGTACAAAACCCCAGATTTGTGCGTTTTTTGTCACATTTCCTCCGAATGTTTGCTAGATATATGTACCGATTATCGTTTAGAGATTACGTAATCTTAAGAAACCTTTGTTTGAATAAAGGTGGTTTCTTCAAACTGTCATTAATATGTTAACATTAAAAGCTGCTTACAAATAATGCTATTAATAGAAAATAACTTTGATTTTCGAAAAAAAAAAAAATTAAAACCAAACGAGATTAATAACTTCCGGTACCGGTACTGCATCACATCAAGTGAAAGTTTTTTTTTTAGCAAACCATAGTGAGTTTTCAAAGCTTTACGTTGTTTACGTTACATGTTACATGTTTTGTGGCCTGTGTGTATTTATTTATTTATATAATTGCCAGCTGATTAACACCTATAATACAGTTTGATTAGAAGGACAGTTTGAATTAGTCGTAAGTACTACAGTTCTTTTCTCAAATGTAAACGTTGGTTTTTGGTACCGGTACTGCTACTTTTCCTTAGAACCGGTGGTAGCAGTACCGGTAAGAATAATTTTTACATACAAACACATCACTATTTTCACTATTTATTTATAAACACTGCACCTTATTGCTTATTAAATTTAATTGATGTCTTACTGTATAATTTTTAGCGTTTTCTGTCTGGACTCCAAAATGTTGTGTGGACTCAATTCTGCATTTGTGCGTGTATGTCTATTGGTAATGCATTAATGTCCTTATTTTTTGTGGAAAAGACAAGAGCACCATTGTTAATAAAAATTTCAACCCAAATAAAGTGTGCAGTAGTGAGGTTGAGGTAGTGTTTTAACTACTTTTAACCAGTGTGAAAAGTAACTTTCAATTACAGGCCTACCTTAGGGCTATGCCTCATAGATCTATACTGTAAAGCAATTCCTTTCATCGTTAGATATAAAATATGGACTAACACGATCGGGTGACATTTAATTGCGAAGCATTCGTTTTGGCTTTGAAACTGTCAGATATTGAATTTGAGAAGGTTTATATGTATTCCTAAACAGTTATAGTTTTGCCATCATATCTGGAAAAATGCACACTAAATATGCAAACCAACTCCTGTTATGAATATAAGGTTTTAACTTACTACAAGATTCCCGTACGTAGAACGGGCAAACAGCTAGTAATGAATACATAAACACCTTTTCAGTCTCCTGCATAATGGATGAGATTGTCACTTAGGCTAGTTTGAGTTGTTGTACAACCTGACACTATTCGATGTATATATTGTACAAAATAATGAATAAAGAAGTTTAAATTGAATTGAATTGAATCCCTGGACTGCACCTCACTTATCAACACAATACTATTCAGAGAATCACTCAATTTCACCTCTGTATTCTTGAATTTGGCTGGAGGCTCACACTTTTGCTGCTATGCCTCTGCCATTTTCGGCTGAACTGAAGCATGACTCACCTAAGCGGCAAGCGGCATTTTCGCGAAAATTTGTTTGAATTTGGAATCATGAGCGGCGTCGCTTACCGCCGCTCACTGCTCAGATGTATCGTGGCCAACCTCAACAAATTTACACGCAACTAAATGAGTCCCGATGTCAGAGCTCATACCGCTCGTATCGTACCTGGGGCCTTATGGTTTACAACAAACAGTGAAGAGTGTTGCTTCAAAGGTCATCGCTTTCATAATGTAGGTACCTAGGGGTTTTGTTTTGTCTTTTCACCACAGAAATCTTTGCGAATCAAAGTCTTCATCTCTTATATTCACCTGATGAAACATCTCCTTTATATCTCCCATGATAGCATATTTTCTGAACCGAAATTTCAACAGCACAGATGGCAATGGATTCAAATAGTCAGGACCATTGAGTAGTGTATCATTGAACGAAACTCCATGCGATTTAGTAGCAGCTTCAAAAACCAATCTTATTTTGTTAGGTTTGTTCGGGTTGAATACTCCAAAGTGGGGTAGATAGAATGTTCAAAATGTTATGATAGCAGCTATTAACAGGGCTGAGTTTTCTATACTTTTTCGATATATTCATCAATCTTGGTTGTGTAAGCTTCTTTAAATTCCAGATCTTTTTCCATTTTCTTTTCAAGAGTATTTAACTTTCTCAGAGCATTGTCAGAGCTTGGAGGAAAATTAAATTTGTCCTTTTTCCATAAAAGACCAACTTTGTAATGATCTCCAGTTTTCTTTATGGTATCCTCAAGGATTGATACTCCACCTTCTTCTTCTTTAGACAATTTCGGGTAATTTGATCTAGTTTCTCCATATTTTTCTAATTCAAAACATTTCTTTACCATGTCATGAATCAATGATTCTTCATATGAGAGTAGGGTAAAAATTTCTTCCAAACGATCTTGAAATTGTGCACACTTTCCATGTAGAAAACCAAGAATATTCATTGAAGAATATCCATGACATCTCCGTGGCCCTTCAAATCCTTCTATTGGAGATCCAGGATATCTTGCTCATTTACAAACTGGGCAATGGCTTCATCGACTGTCCCGGACTTCTCAAACTTCTGAACTTCATGGCA